TTCTTGGATAGCCTGAAAATTCAGGAAATTAGAGGTTTTCAAATACTTTCTCCTCTTCCACCTACCAGCTTCTTGGTGTGTAATAGATGCAGGCATATCTTTGTTCAATTAATTTTCCTTGTCCTGAAAGGAACAAGATGTGTAGGTTATAGATCTTTGTTCACCCTTCCAGTGTTGCTTCTGTTTTCAGGCTGCAGTTGACTTGGCTGATGTTGACCGGTACCATCAGGAACTGCTGTTTACTTCACAACAGTAGACAATTCTTCCTTTTGGCATACAGGTCTTTGTCCTTTGCCAGTTCAAATGAGGCTGTCCTTTTATTCTGTGGAACCACAAGCTGCCTCTGCTTCTTTCCCTTGATTAATCCCAGACAAGGCCTAACTATTTGATATGAATCATCTGAAAGTTAAACAAAAGCAGGGACCTAAATCTCAAATAACAAGAGGAAGAAGGATGCCTTCTTATCAGCCAGTGTTTTAGCAAGTGCTTACTGGATCTTGGTATGGTTTTTTGACTACTAATAAGCATTTAATTGGCTGGTACCGCTTCAGGTCTTACTCTCCACTTTATAACTGTATGAGTAAGCCTATAATTGGTGGCATATTTAAGAATGTACCCACAAGCTTTTTAAGTCACTGAGTTCATTACTATCTCAGTTTGCTGGTTAAAAAAAAAAAAGTAAGAGAAGCCCTCTAGCCAACAGTTCTTGGATATGATGCGTGTATAATCTTCTGGCAGTTGGAAACCAACCACCTATCAGTAGTGAGAATCACATCTTTTTTTCCTTTACTATAATTGCTTGTTTTGTTGGTGATATCTTGGAAATATGAACACCAACTTTATCCGTACATACCCTTGTGTCCTGGTAATCCACCATCATACTTTAGATACTTCCTGTCAGTTCATCATTTCCCTAGGGCAGTTTACCATCTACTGTGCACCAAAATGGTCATCCTGTTCAATTTCAATGTTAGAAAACTGGCTGTATTCCACAGCATTGCAAGCATGTGGCCATATACACTATTTAGCATGGAGGGTTAGTCAACTCCCATTATAAGCAAGTAAACAAACTATGAGTTTAAACCATAGTCATAGGTTAAGATTGTGGATGACATTTTTAGAGCCTCTATGAAAGTTTGTGAAAATGACAGATCATGATATTTGTAAAGTGTTCACCATACTGTATAGCACATACACTAAACATTAGCGGGTTTGTCATTTGACATTGTGACAGTACATAACAGCAACAAGAAATTCTGAGACTTACTATATAAATTTATGGTTCATTCACACCATTGTTAACAATTTGTGTGTGTGTGTGTGTGTGTGTGTGTGTGTGTGTGTGTGATTCTAGAAAAACATAGAGTGCTTTATTTTCTCTTTGTCATTGTGAGACTCAGGAATGTGTGAGATAAGAGGTTCTTGATAGAAGTAATCACATATTTGCTTTAAGGTAAAACACCTGCCTTTTCCTAAAAATGTCAAGCACTGTGACCATTTCAGAATTGGATTCTACCCACTGCAAGTCTTATTGTTGTGAAAAATCTACCTAATATCAAAGATAAGCTGTGGTTGTAGTGCAGTGAGGACCTCTAAAACTGTCTAACGTGTATGTACAGAGCCACCTGTCACCTTTTTCACATCCATGTATATAATGCTGTTTATGGGTGGTCATGACGCAGTAGCATTACTTGGTTTTGTGTTCATTTTACTCTAGCAAATTCTTTACTAGGGAGATTTCTATTCATAGGTGTAATTCTATGATCTACCCTTATCGTTAATGTTTCTGGGCAGTAAGGTAGGAACTATTTTTGATACACAGAAGCAAATACTAAAGCAAGGGTACCATGCACCTTCTGTCAACAGACATATCAACTGTCAAAAAACCTGATAAGTCTCATTTCAAGCAAGTAGAGTCTGGATAATACCAAACTACAATACAGCAGCTAGTATGTATGAACTGGCAGTACTGCCAAACTGAATTACCCTTTTGACCCAAAATAAACACAGTAAAGCTAAGCAAAGCTAAGTCATCTGTCTGAAAGGTATGTAGTGGGTTTAGCTTGTGAGAAAGGCCTTTTAATTTGCCAAAGTATTTTAGACTCTTGCCTCCCCTCTAAGCCAAAGGTTGTTTGAAAAGTCAAAGGGAAGCTTTGAAACATATGATGACATTGTCTTGGTATTTGCTAAATAAATGACAGAATATGAATGCTAGGTGAGGTTTTCCTCTTCTCTGATGTCACCTTGGATACGGAAGAAATAGCAGCCCTCTTCTCCAGACTTTATCACGGTTGCTGTCACTTGGTGGGGGGTAGGAAATACCAAAACTCACTCTCCCATGAGTCAGTTCTCATTCATATTGACCCTCTGTAGGATTCTTGAGCAGCCATCAAGTTTCCAAGGTGATAAGTCATAAAAGGAAAAGTTTGCCTATAATCCTTGTCAGAGTCACTGGTGCATTTGAACCACAGGCAACATGCAGTACTGGGCTAAGCAGTGCAACTCATTACAGATTATGCCACCAGAGCTGCCCAGGAAAAGTGACCCAAATTCTTGCAACATCTGCTTCTTCATGTAAAATAAGGGTAATGGAAAAGATACTTTTTAATGTTTCTGTCAAACTTTACAACCCCATAATTCTTAAGGTTTTCACAGAGTAGATGGACAGAATAGATCTTGGTTCAAATAACCATTATCGATAAAAACCTGTAGTAAATATGATTTTGTCTTGCTCGGATCTACAAGCAACTCTTGGTACCAGCAGTAAAGAAATCAAAGACAAATTCCTTTAGGAAAGTAAGCTGTCAGGAACCTCTCCAGAGTGCTAAAGAGCAACAGTGTCCATCTAGGGACTAAGGTGTGCCTGATCCAGGCCTGGATTTTCTCAATTGCTTGTTATATGTCTGAGAGCTGGACAATGACTAAAGATGATAGAAAAATCGATGCATCTGAGTTGTGGTGCTGGAAAAGAGTATTGATATACCATGTACTACCAAGAAAATTACCAGGTCTGTCATAGAGACGGTGAAACCAGGTTGCTCCTTGGAGGCAAGAATTTTGAAATTCCATCTCACATGCTTTGGGCATATTGTCAGGAGGGATCGGTTCAGAGCACCGGAGAGAAAGATGTTGGATGAGATGGATTGACACAGAGATTGTAACCATGGGAGCTGGTGTGTCAGAGACAGTGAAATTCACTCAGGCTAGGGCAGGATTCAGAGATATTGTTCATAGGGTCACTATGAGTTGTAGTCAACTTGATGGTATATAACAACAACAAATGCGATTTCACTTATATACTGTGAATTTTGTTCATTGTCTTTCTTTTATAGATAAAGTAGAAAGATTTCTAGGTGCAGTAAAAATTAAATAGGGAAATTAATCTCTCAAAGAGTCAATTTTAAAAGTCATAGAAGAGAGTTTTAAAAATTAACTCTTTGTTACTAATTTATTCTTAGTTCTAAGTGAATAGTCTTATCTCTTGAACCATTAAGTTGAATCATGAATTTGCCATTTATGTGGGTTAAAGTCAATTAGATATTTTCAGCTTCATATAGTTAAGTGTATAAATGTAATTATCTCTATGGGAGCGGGCTGTGGTATTGTGTGCTCCACCCCTGTTGTCTTTAGTTCTTGATAGAATGAGCACAATTGTTCCTTGACAAGTACGTACTGAGAGCAGCATTTAGGGCAGAAAAGACTTTGGGAACCATTTCATGCAAGTATATTATTTTAAACGTGAAGAAAATAAGACTCAGAGTTTTCAGGTCTGTAGTTCTTTTTGACGTTCCAATACCACTAAGACTTTATAAGCAAAATAGCATTGAA